ATACTACTGAAAGTTCCGCCTTATATGTTTTCCCATTGCACTATTCCTTTACTGATATTCGATAATATGACGCTCATCTGACATAGTTCTTAAAGTGTGTAGATGGGTATAATCTGTTCCACGCTGTTCAGATGGGAATGCGCGAATATATATAAGAATCGCTAATATTGGTTTGCGATGCGATGAAATCACATCTTGGCATTTCTGCCTCTCGCAATTGCTGCGTATACTTATCGGGGAAGTTCTGTGGCGTGGTTATCAATGAAAAAAAAAAACATGGGAGTATTTTTCTACTTCTCTACTACATCAAACCTTGACATTTGGTGAAAACTTTTTTCCATGCAACCTTTTTTAAAACATCCCCAACAACCACAATTAATTCTGTTATTAAACTTCCGAAACGAACACATAAAATCATCAACAGATGCATATCACCAAGTAGATATTGCTGAATTGATCTTTATTTTACCATTTTTCATGTAATTCTTTTTGGTAAACCTGTTATCTATCGTAAATACAGCACATTTGACAATGCTTAGTGTGACTATTTTGGCCTCACATTTTTGATATATATATATTTGTAGTTAGAGCTCTTGGGGCTCTGTCAAACAAAGTTACATACAAAATATTGGTTGTAAATTGCAAAACATGATCATGTTGTTGGAATAACTTGGCATTTTACCACCCGTATATCATTCATTGTTGAGAATATTAATAAAATCATAAAATTTAAAAATCCGTTTTTGTGAAATTTTTGTCGTAGCTGAATTCCAGGGACAGCATGGCAACAGGCAAGAGAAGCACGGTCGCCTCTTTTAGTTTATGACAGGGTTTCTTAAAAGGGGACCCGTCATCCTTGGAGGCCGCTGATCGGCTATCTGGGAGCACGAACAAACAGATGGAAATGCGAATATATAATAACAATGTATTTTTATAGAAGAGAAGAAGCAAAAGTGTTGAGAGTCTTTGGTAGTTTGAAAAGCATTGGCATGGAACATAAGAATGAACTACATTCTTTCCCAGGGATATACTATAAAATGTAGCAATTTTCTCATTCTTGTTCTCGTGATATCATTGTCTTTCACTGCGTCGTCGTGATCATCCCGCTGCATAACAATTCTCGCTAACAAATAATTGACTGTTCTCCACCGGGTGTATATCCACTTGAACCACTGGCAGTATGTTCCCCAGCTTTTCTTTTTAGGGGGGGGGGGGGGGGGGGGGTTCAAAATTTAGGGGGTGGTAAATAATTTGCTATTAGAGATAAAACTAGGCTATTTGTATTCTTAAAAAATGGTATGTATATATTTAAGAAACGATGTACATGGGGGGCCCCCAACTTGATTGACGCGAGCCAAATCCACAACAGAATGAAATTGTAGAGTCAGAAAAGGGGAGCGAGGAAAAGTGCGGGACGACACGGCTGGGGTTCAGGGCGCGTTCAAGCGCCCTGAGAAAATTTCGAGAAATAGGCACCAAAATAGGCTCTAATCTTGATTTTAGATACACCTAGCATCGCAGTTTGTTATGTAATGAAATAAATAATTATAACATTTAGCTGATAGAATTCCCGGGGAATAGATAACAAGCACGGCTTTCAACCGTAAATATATATATATATACTACTACGTTTCAACAAGTAATTTGCAACTGATAGTGACTAATGAAGTTACTTGCTCATCTGGCATTGTATGAATGGCTACTTATGGCTTGTTTTGTTACACAATTCTAATTTTTTTGAACATGTTTGTTTGACTTTTGTATGAATTAAATTTTGAAATAAGCTTGTCAACTGATCATAATGTCGCATAATGGTGTATTCCTTCAAAACTGAAATATTTTGTTGGTAAGAAGACAAATCGCTGAAGTTTGATTCTTTTCAATAAAGAAATAAAAAACGTCTGTTTTCAGTGCCTAGTTTTCGTTTTGTGACATCTTTAAGCTTTTTTAATATACGGCTGATATCTAAAATACTGCAGTGTGTAATCCTAATACCCATACGTATACATAAGATACCGGAATAACTCAATTGTTACGAAATAAACGTGCTTAAACTGTGATAATGATGTAACAATAGACGGTATCTAAAACTTAATTCACTCAAGTTCGGCGGGCCGTTTTAAATCGTCACGCGGGCCGTAATTGGCCCGCAGACTGCGGTTTAGAACCCCTCAGTGTGGAATCGCACCTCAAAATTAGGAGGGTGTTTGAAATTTTAGGGGGGTGTTCACCCCCTATAGGGGGGGGGGGGGGGGGGGGGGGGGGGTGTAGGGAAATCACTGCTCAGACCTCGTAATGAATAAGGTTGATGCACTACTTCGCACTCCGTTTTCGCAGCTGCCGTTGGAACAAAAATTAGAGGTACAACGTCTTGGGCCTTATCAACCAAAAAATTGTTCACTGGAACAATCCCATGACGGAGGAAAGCGTCGGCGTACATTCTGCGCAGAAACTTGGTATAAAAAACACGAATGGTTGTGTTACAGCGAGGACAAAAATGCACTTTTTTGTTTTTATTGCCTACTTTTTGCTACCGCCCGTGACTCACGTTGGTGTAAATTTGGTTTTAGAGATCTTAAACATCTTTCCGAGCGTGCCAGGGATCATCAATCTTCTATGGAGCATCTGGACAATGCAGTAAAATACCGAACATTCGGAAATGTTAATATTGCAGCACAGTTGGATGAAGGACGCGCGGTTTCTATTCGTCGGCACAACCAAAACGTCGAGAAAAACCGCCATGTTCTCGGTCGATTGATAGATGTTTTGAAGTTCATTGGTTGTCACGAGCTGTCCCTCCGTGGGCACGATGAACGGGCTGGCTCTTCTAATAGAGGGGTATTTTTGGATATGGTGGAATACACCGCATCCCTAGATACAGTATTGAGAGATCATCTTGATGCCGCAACTGTTTCGAAAGGGACATCTAAGGATATCCAAAATGATTTGCTCGACTCAATGTATAAAATTTATTTACAACATTTGGCTCTGGAAATTGAGAATTGCCAGTTCCTTTCGATTCAGTCTGACGAGACAACTGACATCACGTGCGTTTCCCAACTGGCTGTGATTTTTCGGTTTGTGAAAGATGGTAAACCTACCGAGAGATTTCACAGCTTTGTACCAATCGTTGATCGCACGGCTTGCGGGATATCGGCTGTACTGAAAGAAGTGTTACAGCCTTACAACGCGAAGTCAAAATTGATAGCTCAAACTTATGACGGCGCGGCAGTCATGAGTGGGTCGAAACATGGTGTTCAAGTTTATATAAAAGAAGATTTTCCTCATGCGCATTTTTTACATTGTTATGCACACCAATTTAACCTCGTTATTAAAAATATGTGTCTTGATACCCCTCTCGTCCGTATATTTTTTGCAAATGTTTCGGGGTTTTCTTCATTTTTTTCCGTTTCGCCGAAGCGCTCTGACCTCCTTCGCCAGATATGTAGCCGCCGTCTCCCAGCTTGTGCACCAACACGTTGGAACTTCCAATCACGCGTGGTGCAGGGCGTGTCCGAAATTAGGTCTGAGCTCATTGAGTGTTTCAATGGCATTCAGAGCTCTCCGGTTTGGGACGAACGCTCTGTGAGGGAGGCGGCAGGTCTAAAGCGTCTGCTAGAAGATGGTGAGTTTTCATTTTTCTCGCTTTTTTCTCCACAATATTCTATCACGTGGATGTATTATACGGCGCATTGCAGTCAAGGCTAATGGATGGAGCGTCTGTGCAGTCGTGTATTTCAGACTTCTGCGATGCTGTATCTCGTATCCGGGAAACAATAAAATACGACGACACATGGAGTGCTTCTTTACGCCGACATTCTGGTGAATCAAATAGGCGATCGTCTGCGCACTGAACACCTTGCCGCGTTCTCTTTGATGAACCCCAAAAATTTTTCAAAATTTGCACGTCAATTTCCCATCCATTTGTTGGCTACTGTCTCCAAATTTTACCCCATGATAAACGTGGGTAAATTGGAAAATGAATTGCGATGTATATACACCAATCAAACTTTTTTGAACATCACATCAACTTGCGCGCTCTATGGGTTCCTCATAGATAACACTCTAGTAACTACCTTTGCGGCGTCTGCAAAATTTCTGGACATCATTTTGACGACGCCTATTTCTTCCGCCGACGCAGAGCGAACATTCAGCACGCTGAAGCGTATTAAAACGTATCTCAGAAACACAATGAAGCAAGATAGATTAAATTCCTTGGCTGTTTTATCCATTCACAGAGACGTTATTTCTGGGATGCATGACTTTAATCAGCGCGTTATTGAGCATTTTGCTTCCAAGAAACCGCGGCGTGTTGCATATATGTTCAAGCAGTAGAAGTCTAGCAGCATATATATCTATGAGTGAGCGACGCATGTCCTTATCTTTGCATTAACTTTCCTTTCTTCATAGTAACGTTTTAAACCTTATTTTAGGTTTTGTCTGCTTTCCCGAAGTTTCTGTTAATATGTCATTGTATTTATCTGGGTAAATATTGCCTTTCCTTTTGAAAGAGGTTTCAAAATAAACTATGTCTATATTTATTAATCCCTTGACTTGGACCGGTTTTAAAGACACTTTCTTATCGTTAAAAATTGTCGCTTTTGCCGATTGGTTGTTACCGATGGAATGGTTTTTATACTCATAAAATGATGGGAGAACTTACAGCGCTCATCCTGTCCCCGTAGATGGGGGTGACTTGGTCCCGCAGTAGCTTGCCCCGGTTGTCAAAATGACCACGCGCCGCCACTGGTACAATGTTTTGTTGCATAGACAATTTACCTCAAGTGCGGGCTCTCGCCAAACCGCTTTCGATCTTATCATACCTTAGATACAGCAAAGTTTACTTGCTTGATTCGCCTTTGACACCAATAGCGTGTAACTGGTCAAATTAGCCAGGTTAACAGTAAAAAGTATTTTCGCCGAAATTCCCAGCTCATGCCCATATATTATAGACAGAGCATTATTCCCTTTGTTGGATTTAAATACCAAACTTCTACCACTGAGATGAGAGTATTATACTTGCAATAGTTCGAGATTAACGCATCGAGGGGTCACTGAAAAACAGGAACAGTCACTTTGTGTGGATATACGATACCGTATCATTCTATTTTTAAGACCGCCTCTAGGATTCAAAATTACCAAGTCTCATCAGTACTTACATGCTCCTCATTGACACAAGTGGTTGAAATTTGAATAAGAAGTTACATATAAAATTGAAATACCTTTAAATAGCAAGAGCAATTTTAAGAGCATTTTTGTAGCTAGTATCACTGGAAGCTGACTTTGAAATCCAATTGATAGAACATAGGTTGTTCCAATGCCATAGGTATTTGAGTAGTAGAGTTTAGAAATGAAAGTCACCATACTCGAGCAGCGAATGCTTGAGAACATAAAAAATGTCTTTTCAGTCAGATCGCCTAATAAGAAATCTGTGATCAAAGTTTGAAAACATTTTTAAACAAAATGAATATTCATTCTGAATGAATCGAAATCATTATAAAATATTCCAGTACATTTTCCAAATCAGAGTATCTGTTAGTAAAAGTTCTTTGCATGCATCTGGTAAGCCTTAATCTCAAACATGATTGTGCAGTCATGATATGCTTGAAAGTCGTTGATTCAACATTGATTTAAAATGTAACCTTGGTCATCATTCAACTCTCATAATTCCAAACAAAAAGCCTTCAGGAGCTGTCCGCCGTACTGGCATAGAAAGTGTACTCGTGATAAGGACTAGCAAAGCATCCATACAAATTGAATAGGGAAATGTCATCACCCTGACATTGACATCCTTTTGCCAATCCTTTGCAAGCCTGCAATGAAATTTTGATATAATAAAAAAACTTACTATAGAATACCAATAATGCATGAGTTCGGACTAGGGTCGGTAAGCACAATGAATCATCAGTCTTGTCATATTTACAGTTGCTGATATTTTATCTTATAGCAATTGGTAGCAAGCAAACTCTATCGATATCCAGTTGGCAAATCAGTGTAATAAAATCAGGTATTACAGAATAAATGCAAACTGTCTTTAAATATGCAGCGAATATGAATTGATATGCCTAATATGTTACCACTTACTTTGCACCAGATTTAGTTGTTGCGGACATATACAAAACTTTCACGACTCTTTCCACCCCATAATCTTCTAATGTTGAGTCACATGTAGGTCTGAAATGAATAATATATCTGATTTTAAACATAACATAATCTAAAACTTGCTTTTTTTTAATTTAAGCATTTTAAAATAGCCAATTTTCTGCTAGAAAATGTTGTCTACCAGGCATATGAAGAGAAATGTTACATACCTCAAAGGCAACTTGTTTGCTGAAAATTTATACAATGACAAAATGTCTGGAGGTACTAATTTATCATTCATTTTTAATAATCCCTCCAATACTGATGGGTATCGAAATGCACGAAGAGATACGAAGGCTCTTTGCAATAGTCTTGTTGAATCCTTTATGGCAGCTTCTTTGTCTGACTTCATTTGTCGTGGCATAGCTAGCTCCCAGTCCTCTGAAAATATGAAATCTGAATCAAACTTGAATATTAATCGTTTACTTATATTTGGATTTGAAGTAGGCAAACAGAGATCTTTGTCAATTTTGAACAATGGTGGCCAAAAATAACTCACTATTTAACGACATTCTAAAAATATTTCAGAATATCAATGTATGAAAACTGGGCCAAGTTCAGCAGGGAACATGGATCACGGATTCATCAGTGCAAAGGCATATAGAGCAAGGAAAGGTAGTTAGTATCACATAACCCCAACTGTTGGTTAAGTTTGAAGTCTATGCTATGACATATAATATACTTTTTATTAAAAGAAATATTTTTTAAATTTTAAAAAAGCCAGAGAAACATCAAAAACAAGACAGTGCATACATACCTGCGCCTAAATATCTTGGAGGATATTCCACACAACAGCATGGATTTCCTTTATGATCACAAGGTTCATCATATTCAGGTAGATGAAAACGTACCCTTGCATCAGTATTTAGAACTTGAATCTGGAATCCAACATATGTTTAATAAAGCAATCATACTGAAGATTAATAACATAGTGTAAGTGTATGGTTTTTACCCAGTCCAGGTGGATGAGGATCCAGAAAAAAGTTTTGACTACAAAAACATTGAAGTATGCAAGCCTTCATTAATAAAATGTTTTTTTTTATTCCAAGGTAAATGGAATCGAATGCGAATACTTTGAATTTCTACTTTGACCTGTGGTTAGCCGGTTCATTTTACCCGGTCAACGATTAAAGTGTTTTTTCTGGAATTCCAAGCCCTAATCATGACATGATCGAATTTTGATATATATCATTGGCGCTTCCGTAATGTGTGAACCAAGATGGCGGATACCGAAATGTAGTATGTGTATCAGGTTAGGGTTAGGACATAATTTTATTCCAATTTTCCTTATTTTAGTTCTATTAAGAGTTTGGGGTTTAGCCAAGAGACTCCCGTAGTATTTATACCTAAAATTATGGCCAAATTCTAACCTGGTACACATACCACATTCGGTTGTACGCCATCTTGGTTCACATACTACACAAGTACCTTACCATTTAAGGAGACTAGGAAGCCAATGAGCCAGCAAACTCTTTTTCGGTCGCTATCAGCATAGAAGTGATGTACCACAAAATTCTCAATGTTTAAGAGATCCTTTGAAAAAAAATCTTTAAGGCTACCATAAGTTTGGTTTCATGTATACAGTTAGTTATACACACTACGCTACAATAAAACTTAAGTACACATCTAATTAAAACATTAACGTACTATGAGATAAGGTTTCTTCATTTCATCTTGTAATATGAACTTGTATGTTGTATTAGATTTCACTTCATTGGAAAGTTCATTTGCCAAAACTCGTTCAAGTAAAAAAGCGGAGCTGAAAATTGGCCTAAAATGGAAAAATGTAAATGCACCTTTACAATCTAGAACCATTTAATTTCATACACTTTTTTTCCTGGACAATTATCTAATTAAGCAACAAATTTTGTGAAGCTATTTTTGTCACAACATACAGGAATGATGAGAATGAATCGAATCAATTTGAATTGAAATATACTCAGTATTATCATTTCGAGCGGTAGAAATTTAACAGAATAATCAAAAAGCGTTTAATCAAATTCTTGAACTATTGATATCATTGTTTATCTTAACAGTCATGTATTTTCAAATTCAAACTTCTATGTGTTATTTGCTGAGCATGATCTATTTATTCAATTTCAACTACCCTATATACAATGATCCATATTCAAAAATTATTATTTTAGAATGTATTTGGAATTGTTAACTGGAAGTACAGAAAGAAGACACAAATAGGAAATGAAACGATTTTACATTTCTCTTCGTCTAGGAACTCCCGCCCCAAACTTAATTCATTGCAACTACAGAAAAGGTTTGATCATATAATGCTTACAAGTCACAAATTAATTAATTTAACTTCGCCAAAATTGCTGCTCGATCTGGCTCAAATCTTATATTAGTCAATATACACAGCACAAGATTTAAATGTAAATTCATTCTCTGTTCCATGCCTGCAATGATTGTTTAAAACATGAGGTTTTGTTGACGTTAAACATCTTTATGGTCTAAGCAAGTGCAATGGATTGTAGTGTATCATAGTTCGCTTTTCACCTCTCGCACATAATCACCCCACCTGGGATTCGAACCTGTGTGGCAGGATGATTGCAGGACTCCTCGCCGTCGCAAGGTGTCCACATAACCGCTGGTCGGTTACAGCTCCCTCCACCATCAAGTCCATGCATCTGAAACATAATATAACTAATCCCATACCCGACAAGGACTGGTAACCGGACAAGAGGCGTGGTTCGCCATATAATTAAACCCTTGTATCGACTTCCCTCACACCCGGTTTAAACATGTAAATCACATCCTAGTTCAACTTACTGCAGAAAGTCCTCATAGTACGATTTAAATTCAACTGCACTTTTATAGAAGTTATAAGTTCGTACTGATTTGGAATTGACGACAAGAGCTTCACCAATAACAGAATAGCACCTACCACATTTCAACATTGACTTTTCATACTGAAAATAAGTTTTTTTTTAAATTGTAAATATTTCATATTTAATTAAAGAGTTGATTCACAGAGCAATACAAACCAAGGAATAAAAAGATCAAATAAAATTTTCATATTTATTTCAGAAGATAAGACAAACATAGAGATGCTTTAATTGTAAGTGATTTGGGATTTTTTCCACTTCACAAACTAGACACGATATTAAAATATTTGAATGTTTCAGATGAATGAATTGTTAGAAAGAGTAACAATTAAGTATATTCAAGTATAAGTATTCCAGTAAGTACCAGAAAGTATAAGTATTCCAGAACGGAAAAAAGATATTCCAGAACTCATATTTTCTTCCATATAAAAGTGACCAACAAAGCCAATAGACACCTACAACTTACCGATAATACAAAACAGCAATACTGAATGACAGACAATTAGAGACTAATACATACCTTGAATTTTTTTGCATCATTTTTATTGTGTTTTGCAGGTGGGTAAAGCAGCACATTATTGCGTACAACAGCTTTAGGATAAAAAATAACATAGAAATCATTCTCGAATATTTCTCCAATTCTTGGAATGAAGGGATACTCATCCAATTTTAATCTTTCTGCAATTAAAAAACTATTTTTGAATGAAATGTCTTATATTAATCTGGAATGTTCAATAATATAGAACCTGTACAGATTCAAGTTTTGTGTTAATCTCATAGGTTCCACAATTACAACCCTTTGAGCAATTTTTCTAAAATAATCAAGGCTTTACTCTTTACAAGGATGACCCAAACAAAACAACCGTCTATGACAAGTTTTAAAGGTTTAAAACAGCAAGTATTCTGAATCCACACATAGACCTATATTAAGTGCTTATATGCACATGAAATGCACATGACTGCTTCAGTAAAGTTTCTGGAAACACATTATGATCAAATTGAAGTACCTGAAACGAAGAACCAAATTTATTCAAAATAACATGATACAGGTACTGTTTTGAAATGGATTTCAACACTTTTTTAAATAAATTTGAGCTGAAAACTATATAAGACTGTACCTGTATCAGCACACATTCCCTTCTTCCCATGACTATGACTGCAACATGTCCACGATGATGACATGTCCTCCCAATGTTCAGATGGAAGTGACAAAACACGGTTGAATTTCCTAGAAAATTGATTTCACTAGATAAGTTTTTTTTTGAAATTTCTGGATTTCATACAGATTTACAGACCATCATTAAAATTATCAAAAGACATACACATTATTCTTTAGAAAATTGATTCCACAAATCTTGCATCCACAGAAGCAGTTCTGCCCATTTAATCTGTCAAAAGCATCACTCAATCGTTCAACAAGCGTTCCCATAGGAATGTAAGAAGTTGGGACATCTTCAAAAGATGTCACTTGTAAACGCATACTGATACCTGATAAAAGAAAATGACAAAAAATAACATCATAGATGCACTTCATTTCTTCCACCAAACATCTTGCAAACAAAAAAAAGAGAATTTTCTCAATCGTTACTAGTTTGATATCATAAATCTAACAGTTGCTTTATTTCTTTACTATCCCGTTTTATTTATATCTAGTTAAGTAAATCACAATGAAATGCCAAAAAAGCTTGTAATTAATGTTTTTCTGTCCTTATTATTAGAATATAGTGTAAACCCCTTTTATAGGCAGAATTCGAAAAACAATGTTATAATCAAAAATTTTAATAAGATTTAATTGCGAAATACCTCATTATTGCATTGTTGCAATTGCAAAATGTCGCGGTACACATGGATAAGTGCAAAATGTTTACACAAAAAAGACTAAGGAAACGATTATGCGTTTCACCGCAAAACTGATTGAAGTGTTAAAGTCATCTGAAGGTCACAGCCACGACATGACATTATTCAGTAGCTTTACCTTCTTGAGAATTGAATCTCATCGCACTGCATGATGAAGGATCAACTTCTAAAGTCAAGGGATATATAGTGATTTCTCCGCTATAACTCTGAGTGGAAATTCTTCGAGGTTCAACTAGGACATGAAGGGGGATGTCTTTCTCTCTGAATAATTTGAACAAAATATTATAGGCCTATTAATAAGTAAGAAATAATATTTCACAATTTACTCTAATGAAACAAGCAAACATTGACTTTGTACAGACGAAAAATACTTTAAGCAGACTCTCATGTCTCATCCTCAAGACATAGGAATTTCAAATTCAGTCAGCAATGTGATTTTATTATAGCCATAGAATTAAATTTTAGTGAAATGACATCATTGACATTTTTGTATTATAATACCTGAATACTGTAATAATAATATTCTGACAAGTCCCAGTGCTTCCTGCTGGTGGTATAGCACGAATAGTACAAAAGAAGACACTACATAACTAAACCACTAATAGGTGATGGATAAACAGTGATCAACACAATTTTGAGAATATGGTTGTTTCATATTTATCCTGGTTCCTCCCTACATTTTACCATTGCAGAGTTTTCTGGCATATTTTAAGGGGTTTCGTGTAGTTTCGTACTTCTAGTGGGCGTAGCATAACGTAACATTTGGATGACTCAGTCAGGTGAGGGTTAGAATTGACATATGCAAGAATTGTTCTGCTATGCCCACTAGAAGTACTTTAGGTACGAAACAACACTAGACCCTATCTGTGTATCTCGAGAGTGTTATCTCAAGTTGGTGCTCGCATGTTCATAGCCAATATATTGAACCATCTGACATTTAAAATTGCTAGTACAGTAGTAGTTAACTTCTGCCTGGTTAATTTTTTTTATAACTGCAGCTAAAATAAAACTCCTCAAAGATAAAATAGACATTGTGAAATATCAATAAGATAATCAGAAGTGATTGTTTAAAAATAGAAGCCTTATCCTACCAGTATAGAAGGCATTTAAAAATGTACACCAGCACTCATCCACATACAGATATAAACAGTAGATATCACAGAGGAGGTATGATAATGTATGTATGTTTATTCGTCTCGTAAAAGCAAATAGTTTTCTGATAGATTCGGCATACCATAGGCCTACTATAGTACCGGTACCGGTACTAGCATATCGATACATAGCCTACCACTGTCAGACTGTACCGGTACCAGCACACCCTGAAACCGATACGATGCTCTTGTGTCTAGTTTCATTTCAGAAAATGTAGATAAACCAGTAGGTAAACATTCGGACATTACCGTAACCAAACAACAATCTTACTGTGTTTTAACCCTACTCCGCCAGTCGCTCTGTGGCCATTTTACATGGGTTATTTTAATTGTCAACCATTAAGCCCTAAATGACTTTTTCATAGCGTGTTTTTAATAGAGTTCTATTCAGTTATATACCGGTATGTTTAAAACACACTCCTAAAATAATATTTTTTTATGCGACAAAATTTCTATTGAACAACCTTGAACTTGCGAGATTTTGTGTCTAGTAGAGGTTAATTAATTTTTATTTCAACGTTTTCTTGTGTTATTTTCCAACAGAACAACACCAAAACCACTATTATAGCAAGAATGGATACTCTAAAATTCACGATTGTATTTACAGAATTTTCAAATTCAAGGCTTCAATTGACAATTTTGATGATGTCATACCTCTAATTATTACTGCACAGTTATTGTAATTTGTTTCCTGTCTGAGTCACTCTAACGATTTTACATGCCACTCAATGTATCGAACTAGTATTTAAAGCGAAGCTAGAGTCCCTTTTTCGTGAAACATACGACTCTACTATAGAACATTAACTGTAAAAGACCATTATTCCAGTTGGTTAGGCTTGAATTATACTGTGTACATGCCATCCCCCATAGTATGGTTTGAACATATTCAATTGAGTTTTGTTTTTTCTTTTGTTTTTGTTTTCCTCTCTGTTAGTTTTGTTAATTTATTTTCGGTGTATGCTACTTCAGCTCAATTTCGTTTAAAAAATGGTAATTTTATATTTTTTTAAAGGCTGTGACTGACTCGATGACCTAACGGTCGCTTCGTCACAGCCTCGTCACAATGCCTTGGAAATTAATTTTGAAATGTTGTATGTTGTATTTTGATTTTGACATTGTTGACGAAATAAAATACTACTACCGTACTACTACTACTACTACTACTCACCTCAAAACGATGTTTATTGCATGCACTTGATCACAGACTTCCATGAAATAAAATCCTTCCCTTATGGTGAGATGAGCTTTCTGCTTTTGTCTAGCACCCTGCATCTTTTCATCGAAAGTAAAAAGTCTATCAAAGTATTAGGCTCTTTTCAGATTTTTCAGCGTACATCTGTACAAATAAACAACCAGACATAGACCTTATTCATTAAAAACCCATCCTACGCGCAAAAAATAAAAGTGATGTTAAAAATTTTTTAGCTCTTATGGGAAATGTGATCACCAGAGCAGAAATTTGCATTTTTTGTAATTTTCTAGATATCTTTCATTGTATACGTGAGCAGTTTTGAGGATAGAATATTTTTTAAATCTTTTTTGATATTTATATCATGATAAACATGGTCAAGATTTTTGATAATCGTTCATTAAAATTTTAATGAGCGCGGTGTTTCCGATGACGTCATTCTCACTAGACCATGAGATTCTGCCAACGCGCCGTGCTCTGTGGGATATGCGCTGCAAATGTCGCTTTGGGTCCGTGTCCGTTCCGGTACTGGAAGCGTTTAACATTGACAATCTATAACCCGTACCATTTCTATCACGTTTGTTTACTGGTTTTACGCGTTTATACCTGTACAGCTAGCAATCATTTACTGAAGGCATGCTGACCTATTATTCAACCTACCGGTACCGTACCAAGGCTGCAAGAGGTGAAAACTAAATTATTGGACACGTACCGGTAGGTGACACAACGATCGTTTCAATATTATGTTGTTGTTGTTCTTTGACACGTTTTTAAAAAGTCGCTTTTCTCTTCGAATACTGGACCAATTGCTTTGAAATTTTCAGTGGTTAAAGATAAAAATTTTCTCCAGAACGCTATTACTTTTTTTTCGCTATGACGTCATCAAAATTATGTGACTCTACGTGTCCATATATTTGAGCATAGCTCTCTTGTTTAGTAAATACTGAAATAGGACTACGAACAAAAATGTTGGCCATCCTGCCAATAGGTATACCGGTATACAAAAAAAGATGAATATCTCCAACCTATAATGGTGCAATACCGGTCTCGTAACTAGGTTAAAAAATATGACTGAATACGAGAGGGAGATTTATTTTGTCAACCAGAATACAAGCATTGAATCAATAAAAATCATATACAAAACACACAGTTATTCGGTATAGACTGGGGAGCGATACGACCATCACAGTCAGCTCCCCCCTGCCCCCCATGTTTGCTATCAAGATTAACAGTTAATTAAGATGTTTTAACAAAAACTCCTCGGAGGAAGGGTTGGCCAAGTTACGGAATATTTTTGGATTCGGTTAAAAATGTAGTCCATTATTTTAAACACTGCTTTTTTGTAGATTTTCACTTAGTGGACACTTAGCAAGTACGACAGTTAATTTATAAAATAAAATTGTAAATTAATAACAAATCAGTAGAAGTCAGCTCGGGTATTCAAACATGTGATGATTGAAGTGAGAAAAAAATCTGAAATCACGTTGAGGATATTAGGCTTACATTAAACAACAATGGAAAAGGTACATTGGAATCAGTCAAGCTTCAAATGCTGATGGCATTAATGAAAAGAATATGCGAAATGAAGACTGGAGTTTTCATCTGAGACATTGGAAGACGCTAAAACTTTATAGACTTGAGAGTGTGGAAAGCCTTCTCACAATGCAGTAATAATGGGACATATATTTATATTATCATTATACAGGCTTTAAGTTGAACTATATGTTCAATTAAAATATCTATCTTTGCTAATAATTGCTGAAAACCATTTATTTCAATCTGCTGAGTGATTAGGGCCAGAAATTTGCTGTAAGGACCATCACCAGGGCTGGATTTACCAATAGGCTAGGCAGGCTGAAACCTAGAGCCTCGAAATTTGGTTTCAAAGTTTGTAATTCTTTTTTGAAAACTTGACAAGTTTAAACCCTACAAAAAGTATATATATATATCAAGCTTTTCAGAGTAGAAAATTCTGTATACAACGTTTCGTTTCAACCACATTGTAAACAGCCATTATTGCGTAAACTTATTCTAAGTTTAATAGACATATTGATGTGCGACAAGGAGAAAAATATATTTGATAATAATCCAGCAAATTTAGTTGAAATACAAACCCTTTTTAAATTTGTTACATCTACATAGTTAATAAAATTGAAAATTATACACTATGTTTGGCATTATAAAAGGGCGAGTCAAAACGTGCTGCTACTGTTGTGACATAATGAAATCAAATTTATGAGGGATCTGCTTTTTTTCGAATGTGTCGTAGTGCTGCCTTTATTGGCGGTTTTTGAGAAATCGCCCTCTCAGAAACAATATTTTTTTCTAAATTCCGAAAAAAATCCACAAGAAGGCGTAAAATCATTTTTTGTTATTTTAATATTTGTCCACCTATTCTAAGTTTGATGAACGTACAGTTTTGGTGTATGAATTAGAGAGAAAAGTATTTGATGATATATCCAGTAAATTTAGTTGAAATACCAAACCGTTTTTAAATATGTTACATCTACATAGTTAATAATATTGAGAATTATAGGCTATGTTTGGTATCATATGTGGCCAAGTTAAAACGTGCTGCTACTGTTCTGACATATTAAAATCAAATTTATAGCGTATCTGCTTTTCTCCGAATGTGTCGTAGTGCTGCCTTCATTGGCAGTTTTCGAGAAATCGCCATTTTGTGAACGATATTTGGTTGAAATTTTGGAAAGAATCCACTAGAGGTCGTAAATGTTTTTTTTGTTGTTTTATACTTCTCGCAACGTATTCCAAGTCTAACCGACGTACACGTACAGTATTGATGTGTGGCAAAGAGAAAAGATATTTGATCAATTATGTAGCACATTTTGTTGAAATATAAACTCTTTTAAAATTTGTTTCGCCAACATTGTTTATAGAATTTAGAATACACGCTATGTTCAGTATTAAATATGGCCAAATCAAAACGTGCTGCTACTGTTCTAGTTTGGTGAAATCGAATCTTTAATGTATCTGCTATTCTCCGAAAGTGTCGTATTGCTGCCTTTATTGGCAGACGAGAAATCGTCACTCCAAAAACGGCATGTTTGGGAAATTAAAAAAAATCATATATAGGCTGTAAGACATTTTTCACTGTTTTATACAATTTGAATCTTATTCCAAATTTAATTAACACACAGTATCGGTGTTTGAAAAAGTAGGAAAACGGAATATTACAAAATTAGGTGAGTTTAGTTAGAACATCTACGCTATTCAAATAATTGAGATATACGCTATGTTTGGTATTATAAATGGCCAAGTCAAAACGTGCTGCTAGTGTTATGATATAGTGAAGTCGAATCTAAAAGGTATTTTCTTTTTTGCGAATGTGTCGTAGTGCTGCATTTATTGGCGGTTTTCGAGAAATCGCCCTTTCGAAAACGATTATTTTTTGAAATTCAGAAAATAACCCACTAGAGGGCGTAAAATGATTTTTTTTTAATATTTAAAAATTTCCCAATTAATTCTTAGTTCAATAGACGTACAGTATTCATGTGTGACAAAGAGAGAAATATATTTGATCAGTTATCCAGCAGCTTTAGTTGAAATACAAATCCATCTTAAATTTGTTACGTCGACATTGTTTATAAAACTGAGAATACACGTTATTTTGGTATTATATATGGCCAAGTCAAAACATGCTGCTACTGTTTTGGTATAGTGAAATCAAATCTATAGGGTATCTACTTTTCTTCGAATGTGTCGTAGTGCTGCCTTTATTGGCGGTTTTCAACAAATCGTCACTCTAAAAGCGTATGTTTGAGAAATTAAAAAAAGTATAGTGCGTAAGACATTTTTTTATTGTTTTATACAATTTTCAACTTATTCTAAATATAATTACCACACAGTATCGGTGTTTGAAAAAGTAAGAAAATGGAATAGGTGAATTTATTTGAAATACCGAACCTTTTTAGAATATTTGAACATTTACGCTATTTAAATAATTGGTAATATACACAATGCACCCTTTTCGCATCCGCTCAGACACTTTTCCCACTCAGACAGATTTTCAGGCGTGTTCGTAAACATTATGTCAGATTGTTGTATGCGATGAATCATAATGATGGTTTAAACACATACCTCATTTTACAGGCGCTAACTCGCGAAACCACTCTTAAAATAAGGCACGAAAATTTTGCACGGGGGTCAAAGGTCGGGAAAAGGTCCATTGAACACTAACATTGATCGCTACTGTAGCGACATTCATAACCTTTGATCCGTTGCGACTTGATGCAAAAAGAGGTGACGGCTGCGATTTCTTGCTCTGAACGCTGACGCGACTAGGTCTGACTTGCAATGTTTCTTATGAATACTGAAATGTAACGGTGTTTCGTAGAGGGAACTAAAAGATATTATTTGAAAAAACAAAATGTATTCTGAGGCATTATGTCATTTGAGAAAATAACGTGTTGAAATGGGAGGTATGGTTGATTATGAATACAGGTGCCGGTGGTAACAGCACAAAAAGTATGCCAAAGTGAAAGAAATTTCCCCTATTTACTTTACTTGCAAATGTTATAAGGTAAGATTGGATATAGCTGTGATCATTTATAATAGCAGACTTATGTTGTAAAAGTATATCACAATTTTTCAGATGAATTTCGATTTGAATACCGATAATTAAAGCAGAACCCCTCCATGCTCGAGCTCATACAACAGTCATCATATTTGCTGTATTTGGTTGGAATACAAACCACCTTTTTTATGAAGATTTGTATCTGAATGCTGTGAACTTCTCATTCCCATTTATATGAAGTTACGGACATACGAATTTTCATTTGCTTGACACAGCAAGCACATCACTAAAGAACACCATAAGCGGAAGATCTGTATTTGATTTCTGGTAACCTCTCAGTCCCAATTATGAAAAGTCACAATCGGCAGTTTGTGGTCAAATAAAGACTTTTTCAATGCTATCCTTGATCTAATCTAAGTATACACAAGCAAAGATAGAGGACATTGCTTCACTCACATATAGATTACGCCAATGCCCAGTGATTCTTGTAAGATGCAAATAACAAAATCACTGTACTATCTTAATTTCTTATATCAATTCAGCATGTTATGGGTGCCATCCCCAGCTAGGAATACTCAATGGAATTTATTCAACTTGTGTGTGAGATATAATTTGTTAAAAATATGCATATATACAAGAACACAATAGTATG